TTACGAATTATGATTATAATCGTTCGTTCCTGCTATTTTTTACTACAATTTATAGGAGTTACTTAAAACTTCCTCTTTGCCCAGAATCTCCGTCAAAGGCAGTGTTTCTCAACCGTAGTTGCCCGGAACCCTAAGGCGACAATTTACCCATCGCCCACTGAAACATATGTATATACATTATGGACATTTCTGGACGACTGAACGCGAATATCCAGGTCACTATGTTTCTATTTCCAATCGTTTCTTTGTTGCTACAATTCCACAGTCTACACCAGCGTTTCTCAATTTGGGTTCCTCGAAACCCTAAGGTTCTGCAAAAGATCCCCAAGGGTTCAGCGAGAACAGGTGAGATAAGGTAATGCACTTTTGATTTTTTATTTAATTTCACATACGTTAATATTACTGTTTTCCTTCTGTTTACATTTATATTATAGGAGTATGATATTGGTTACTTATGTTTAGTTTTTACGTTTGCGGATGTACGAAATTAAAAATATAAAATGGCGAGAATTTACCTATCGCCCACTGAAACATACGTATATGCATTATGGCCACTTTTGGACGTCTGAACACGAATATCCAGGTCACAATGTTTCTATTTCCAATCGTTTCTGTGTTGCTACAATTCCACAGTCTACAGCAGCGTTTCTCAACCAGTGTTCCTGGGAACCCTAAGGTTCCGTGAGAACAGGTCAGATAAACTAATTCATTTTTGACTTTTTATTTAATTTCCTATACGTAATATTACTAAACACACACACAATATATTCTTGCTTATTGTAATATAGGCATCATCCTATCTAACCTATTATGTTATTAAAAAATATATTAATATTAATATACTATTTATAGTAAAGGATAAAAAAAAATGATGCAGCAATTATCTGTTTTCGTTCTATTTACATTTATATTATAAAAGGCGTTCCATTAAGAGGGATTATATATAAGGGTGTTTCATTAAGACGGATCAAAGTCAGCAGTAAATAAATGAGTGTTATTGGTGAAAATTTATTTATTTCTCTATTGGATCATGTTATTTAAGTCATGGCAATTATGTGTGAAAAATAATACTGCCCAAATGTTCGCCAACTCTGAAAGAAAAAGTAAAAAATCACTAGACGCTTAAACTTAATTATTCATCTAAAGCAGCGTTTCTCAAGTGGGGTTCCCCGGAACACTAAGATTTCGCAAAAGGTCACCAAAGGTTCCGCGTAGACAGGTTAGATAAGTTAATGTACTTTTGAATTTTTATTTAATTTCCTATACGTAATATTACTAAACACGCACAATATCTTCTTGGTTATTGTAATATAGAAATCATCCTGTCTAACCCATTATGTCATTAAAAAATATAACAATCATTGGGGATATATTTAGTGATGTCTGTACGACGCCAGTGTTAAACCACCTTCACTAGTCAGTGCCTACTAAGCGAACGGGACCTGTACTTAAAGTTACACATGTCTTTGTTTTTTCGTTATTTTTTTACAGAAATATCTAATTTGTGCAGCAGGGGTGCCTTCGGACACGTGATTTATTTTAAGGGTTACGCAAGGGTAAAAAGGTTGAGAAACGCTGGCCTAAGGTATTCTCAGCAGCCTCCTATATAAACACATCACTGTTGTTTCAAATTTTTCTTCATATGTGAGTATTCACTGCCATATATTTTTTAAACTAGTTCATCCGAAGCAATAATGCCACTAAGACACAAAGGGGAGTGAAAGAGAATGAAAAGACTTTAGAAGGAACTGGAAACTCAGTCCTAAGCAGGAAACAAGTGTTAAACCTCTACTTATGTTCAAAAGACGGGGGAGGAGTGTGAACCGGACGAGATGATAGGCGAACCTATCTACTCTTATTGTGTAATAAATAAAAAATAAAATTTCAGTCGTTAGAAGTACAGAGTCGAAGTAGACTTTAGAAGAAACCAGAAACCAAATCCTAAATAGGAAACAAGGGATAAATCTCTACTCCTACTCAAAAAGTGAGGAGGAGTGTGAACCGGGTGATAGGCGAGCCTATATACTCCTATTATATAGGAGGACAACTATATAATATATTGTTTATAGCCCCTTCGTACTGGGGGTCTTGGTCTTAGGCGACGGCATCAATTCACTCATATTGACGTTGCTTCTTCTTTCACAGTCTGTGATCGCTAGTTGTTTTGTTCGGAGATAAAAAGAGAACTTCAATGACGGAATTTTAAACTATTTTATTCACGTCGACGTGTACATTTCTAACTATCCAGTGGGGTTGCTCTCCTATCCAACTGGGAAGCCGCTTCCCTGACACGAAAGAAACACGTCTACATGACGGTTTAGATTCGACTCCCCGAAAAACCTACCTCCATCTATCATTCCCACGCAAGATCAGCCAATCAAAGTCGACTTCCTTTGTTTTGTCTCTGTACCTGATCTCAAAGGTCAAACTGAGGAAGTCAGAGCAAAATATACTTCTCTAAAAAAAAAAAAAAATAGTTTGCTAAACTATTATTTAACAATACAAATTTAGTATTCTTTGTTTTCAATGATTTTTTCCGTTTTTTTTAATATATTGTTAAGATTTGGAATGCGTATTTCGCTTGTGTTAATAGTTGGCAGAACAGGAAACTTTGATGGATTGTGAAAAGACAAACCTTA